TTGCCATCACTCCCAACAGCAAGACAGACAGTTTTGAATACTCCTCCCTTCTCTTTCCGTAGGCAGATTGTCAGAGAAGACCTTTTACTGTCAAAGCATAATTGTTTTGCTTATGCAAGGCATGCTTTATACAAGAATAAAGAAATGAAAAATGCATAACAAATATTTGCAGTAAGTTTCATAAAAACTAAACTATGTAATATTTAAAAGTGATTGATTTAAAACCAAAAAGATTTCTGCATATGCTGAAGGCATAACTGCAATATTTGCCATTAAAGTGCTGTATTTTTGAGGAATACTGAATTTGGTTGTGCAAGGAGATAAAGAACTAAGGCTGCACTTCCTTATGATATGTAGTTCTGAGATATAATATATGGTTACTGGAAGAGAACTGTAATCCCATTAAATAGAACTTGTAAAATTCTGTTAACGTTGTATCATTTACTGACAGCAGCAACTCTCAAGTGGAGGGAGGGCTGTTATTCACTGGAGGGTTCCAGAGCAGGCCAGTCACCAGCTGCTAGCTTCTCTTTGCTTTCAGCTGCTCAACTCTGTAATAATTTTTTTACGTGACTATTTCACAACTGCATCTGCTGCCACTGCTGTAAACTCAGCAAGGAACAGTAGGACAAAATTGTTTCTGTAGTAAATCAAAGGACACAACTGCCTGTGGAAGCCTTTCTTGAATAAATTAGGGCCTGCAGGGAAGAAGAAAAGTCTCTTGTGAAGAGCAATAACCATTTTAGAAGTAGCTTCACATGACTGCAGTTGGTATAAGTTGAGCAATTTTTGCTGTCTCTACTTTCTGATTAAGAGTAGGTTGGGGTTTTCACTGTCCGTGGAATTTGAGATGAGAATACACAAAATAATGTCTCCATTGCTTAGATGTCTCCCATTCTGGAAGATAAACAAATCCAGTCCATTGGTGTGAAGAAATAAAACCAGCAAGTTTACAAAAAGAATGCTACTTTATTTTCAAATGCTGTAAAAAGCCTCATATAAATTTTTATAATGCTTCTATGTAACTTTCCCAACCACAACTAATGAAACAGTCTAGGAAAAATATAGCAGTTGCCATGTCGACTCCAGAAACGAGCTGCTGTAATATATCAACATTAAAAGGACAAGGTACAGTATGTTACAATGCTTGTAATTGCTCGTATTATTGAAAAAGTGAGAGCACTTCCTAAGCATTAGAGTATAACCGGGCTAAACTGCAGTATTCCCTACTTGCTGTTGCAGAGGAGGAAAGTCACCTCTTTAGAAGGAGCCGACACAACACCCTTTGTACTGCTTATGCCCATTTATCTTAGTAGTGTGGAGAGCTTTCAGCAAGCCCATTTGCACTTAGGTGAATTCACCCACGTCAGATGCTCTTATTCCATACTGTATCCAACGGCTCAGGTGTTTAACAATTGACCTATAAAAATAACACTTATATAACTCTCCAGCAAGGCAAATTTAACAGTGCAAATGCAGTATCAACAATATTTGATTTCTGAATGCTGGCAATTTTTTTAACTCCTTTTGCACATGAAACAACCTCTGCTGATGTCCCGTGCCTAAGGCCACTCATTCACGCTGACTGGAGATGGAACAAAGTGCAAAAGCTCCGCTGCGTTTCCCAATCCAAGCTTCCTCCCCAGTTTCAGGGTATTCAGATCCAGAATTTGGATTTAGGCTCACCACTTCCATCGATGCACTCAAGTCTTCCCTGCTGGAACAGGTTAACTTCCCAGCAAACCTCCGATAACAATTTGCATACACAATTCCACATTTTAACAAAAGTTAACAAAACAAACTTCCAGAAAATAATTTTTCACATGGTTGCAATCATCAAGCCATTTCAGGATCTTTGGTACTCCAAGAATAAGAAAAATAAATGGCACAGTGACAAACATCGCCAAAGGAAAACACACAACCATCCAAAGGAACAAGACAAAAATAACAAAACAAAAGATATGTTGCACTTCCATTTTTTGAAAGCCAGTGTAGATTAACCGTCTGTTCTCTTTAAGCCATTACAGTGTCACAGTTTCACCTTTAAAAAAAAAATCTATCATCCTAAAAGCAGTAGTTAATATTTTGTTTAACTTGTCTTACTGATTAAAATAATGCTATGTTTTAAAAAAAAAAAATCAACTACCACAATACAGGAGTTTATGCTAAATAGGCTGCAGGCTGTTTCCCTATGGATATAACTCCTATGTGAGCACTGATATGATTAATTATCCGCAATTTTAAATGAGTATTATCTTTAGTGTTACAAATATAAGGGTTGAGCTTTTTCCCAAGTTTGTAAACCAGTGAGTATGTACAGACATAGTTGTTTAATAGATAGCTTTAAATTAAGTGTGTATTTATCTCCCCTCCCCCAAACCCCACAGGAAAAAAAGAAATCACCAGTATTACTGAGCATTTGCAGTTTCCATGAAACTTATCTCGTCTTAGCAAGTTCAAGCAAAGACTTCTTTTTATATTACGCAAATAGGGTAACTGTGGTCTTTTGAAATGTGTTTTTCACAGGAATTCCACTTCTGGTGCACATAGCACCCCATGAATGAGATTGGAAATTAAAACTAATAAAAATTCTCTTTTGAATAGTAGTGTCCTTTGAGGGCAAGTTTGCATCTCAGACATTTTCTGCCCGAGCTACTCTGTCTTGATAGAATGGATTGAATGCCTTAGAAAAGGCATTAACTTTCCTGAGAAGCCTCAGAAGCTGCTAGGGCACCGGCAGAAAGAAGTCTGCAAGTGTAAAGATGGATTTAAGTCAGTTATTGGGTTTGGACAGTCTTTGCATGGTACCTTGTACCAGGTTGAGCTTCACTACATTGACACTGGAGAATTTCTGAGGGATCTTGCCCCAGTAGCAGTAAAGGGGTGTTAATTAGTGTAAGGTCTGGGAAGCAAAACTGGGAGATCAATGACCTGTTCCCACATAAGTCCAGTATTTAGGCAAAAGTTTAGCTTAGCCATGTATATAACACTGTATGAATCGGACGGGCCCTGAAGCACTGGATACTCCTCTGTGAAGACTAATTTTTTTGCAGAAATGTAGTATAAGTAACAGATATTAGATGCTTGAAGGGGGATACTGGAGGAAAGACATCACTGAAGCCCTTGAGGAACCCAGTAGCTGATGTATCAGGGAAGACTACAACATGTCAGTAAGCCACTGATGCGCAAAAGTCTTGCTGGTAAATAGTCTTTTATGCAGCAGATGAACACCCCAGTGTGTTTTTAAAGCGTACAAATAATTCAGAACAGCTGATACTGTGATGCCTAATAGCAATAAATATTTCTGTAATCACTTTATAAATAGTCCCTTGCATTTTGCTGCAAAAGCCAGTCTAATGGAGTCTTTCCTACTGTATGCCAGAACGTCCCGCGCTTCACTCCCATGGGTGTTGCGGAGGCTTTAGAGTGCCTTTCACTTGCATTCAGAGGAGGAAGACAGCAGCAGTGACTCTGCTCGTTCAAATACAAGCAGAAAGGGGGAAATTTTCATTGCTGTAAATCTCTTTTGTAACCAGAAAATGACATCAAAGATCTCTACTGTATTGCGATAGATTCAAAGTACTGCAGATAATATGCCAGTACAGGCAGAGATATAGATACATTTGCCAGCAGCCAGATAATTGCAAACTGTTTGAGGAGCGCAGTTCAGTCCTGAACTGCTGCTGGGCTCAGAAGCAGCACCATACCCTGCATAGGGAGGAATTTCTGCTTCAGTTTCCTCGACCTAACATCCTGTAAACTGGGGAGAATAGATGTGGGAAACTGGGGAGATGCTGTGCCCATTTCAGTCATGGTTGTTTGTGGTTCCTGGAAACTGGGCTGCAGGCTCAGCTGAACCTTTGTAATCCCATGGTCCACGTTAGATAGAGCTACTAGAAGAGGATGGAGCCCACAGAAGAGTCTGAGACTAGTGGGCCACTCCATTGCCTCTGGCTTGGCAGAGGCTGCTACGGGACATTCCAGAAAGAAGAGGCTAGAGCGGGATTCCCTTCTGCCTGGAACTTCTTAGGGAGACAAAAAAGAAAAAGCAGCAATTTGATGACTTTTCTAGAATACGTCTTGCACAGACAGAAAAGGCTATTTGAATTATGAATAGCAAAAAGATGATCTGTCTTAAAGCAGAGGCAGGAACGCAGCCTTGGAAACTCTACCATCTCTTCAGAACTTGGCATCAGAAAGTCTCCCTTCTGTTAAAAATCTTTATCATTTTTATTCAGGTACCTTTTTTCTTCTGAAATTGCCAATGGGCATCATCATCTTAAACAGTAATGCCCATCAATTATCATTTAAAGCAGAAATACCACTAAACAGATCACAGAGACTGTTTCACCACCACACACAGTGGGGGAAAAGGAAGAAAGAGAAGACGGGATGATCGGCTGACAAAGCCCTCCAGCGGGGAAGAGCGAGGGTAGGCAGGGTACAAATAGGCCCACAGGACACTGCCATTTAAAATAATCCAACGTTGCCACACTCATGGGGTATCTGCAGACCACAACTGGAATGCCCTTGAGCAACTGCTCAGAGAATTTTGCAAATGTGGGCAATGGGTTTTTTTATACTGCATATCTAAAACCCACCAGGTAAGCAGTATAATAACAATGCTGCATAAAATGATCTGTTTTACTCCTGGGTGGATTAGATGGTTTACAGTACAAACACAGCCACAGTACAGAGAGGCATAATTAACCGTTATACACACATAGGCAGTGCAGTTACAAAGGGATGTACGTTCCTTTTATTCCAGTACCTTCGTATAATAAAGTTAACAAAAATATTCAAATATTAAAAAAAAAAAAAGCCAGCTGGCACTGCCAACTAATTCCTGTAGTAGTCTTAGAAATCCTAATCCTGTAGAATTTCCTTGTGAAATTGATGCGCACCAGAGTCAATGTATTGATAACTAACGCCAAGCGGGTCTGGTGATGCAGCTACCTGAGGTTTGTATTTTTTTTTCTTTTGTGGGTTTGCGTTTTGTTTCACAACTTCCCGGCTTTCATGTAGGAGGGGATTGAGCCACGCTGCGTAAGCCCTTCAAACCTCTTGTAGGTATAATTGAGGAAAACCCAGTCTTTGGATTTGTAGTCAGGTTCCGTTGTGTTTGGCACTAGAATTTGGAAACAAAAGTCAAAAAAAGAAAAAAACAATTAAAAACAGCACTGCTTCTGAGAGGACTTTTCACAGAGCACTGACATAAACAGCCCTGAACTCTTACTTCCCTAGTCAGCAGAAACACCTTGAAGAAATCCTTTTTTTAATCAGGTCAGTTGGTCTGAGGAGAGTTATAATTTCAGCATATATCTCTGAAGCAGAAAAAGGTTTTTGGTTTTGTGGTTGGTTTTTTTTTGTTTGGGTTTTTTAGTATGTCTACACACTGTAACAGGCTCCCGTACCTTGACAGGAACCTCTAAAACACCCACAAGATATATAATTATGAAAAATACAACATTCAGGATGCTCCATGCACAACAAATGAATGTATACGTATTGTGTTATCCTCACCACAATCAGAAGAAAAAGATCTATCCAAGTTCTCCCAAGAGAACTACACATATCAGGCACACATTACTCTCCTAGAACTTCCTCCCTGCTTATAGCTTCAGTGAGGCTTATACAGCCTCCTTTTATTTTATGACCAGCCCCATGGCTAGCATGCTGCACACGGACACTCACTGCAGCGGGCTTCTACATTTAGCTCTCTGGTTGCTGCTTTTTAGAGTTCTGTAACAATATTTTCAACTCAAGATGCCAAACAGTGATATCAAAGTTTGTATTTAAGTATCTAGATGTACAGTAACATTTTCAGTGGGTCTGAAATGCCAAATCCAATACAAATGTACTGGCATTTTCCAAATATGGACTTAAACAGCTTAACGTAGGCACTGGAGACTGATTGCTTATGCATTAAAAGGCCAAACTTACTTGCCATTGTATAAAAGCCATTTCAGAAAAAAACCCAACAACAGCTTTTTGATAATTCTTATGGTTGTTAGCACGTCTACACTTATCTGTCATCAATTAATCATTGTTATATATCTGCCTATCTTTAAGCCATTAATAATTAACTGAAAACAGTGGGAACTGGGAGAATTTGGCATGTCAGAGAACTAAGCCTTTTATGTATAAAATTTTCGTATTACTTGCCAATAGAAATTAACAATTAAAAAAAAATTATTTGCAGAGCCATTCAGGTTCATATATCACTATTTTAAATATTCACCTGTCTGAAAATTTTTACCCGCAAATATGAACGTTTATATTTGGCATGAAACTCAAAAGTCATTCAAGATCAAAAGCAAACGAGTACATAATGTTTTACCAGAATTAGGTTAGACAGACTGTATGGTAGAAAACTGTACAGTTTTCTGTGCTCACTATATATGCAAACCATTTTTACTAATAGACTTAACTGTAAAAATCTGTGGGCTTTTTTTTTTTTTCCCTGCAAAGTTAGACAGAAGTAGAAGCTATGAGAGATTGTAAGCTTACATCTATATCTTTAAAAAGTCTCTAGATCAAGTCCATATGTTACCTTGATTAGGGTATCAGAAAAATGAATCTAAACAACAACGGCATCTGTGGAGTATTCTGGCACATCATATTTAAAAATTTTGAATTTACGATGGCAGTCTCACCTGGCTGTAAAATATCAGATTCAGGAAATTCATCGAAGTTGGAAGTATCATCAATACTTTTGATTTCTATAGGGATTGCTGCTGGTCTTTCTCTGCAAACAGAAATAAATGCCGGAACAGTGAATACTAGGACAAGATACATTAAGTTCCAGTTTTGTTTAACTTAGCTTTTTACAGTTACAATATCCCTTTAATTTAAAGCACAAAGATTCCACTGAATCCATCAGAGATGTATCTGACTCACCTGCTTGCTGACATCGTGGGGAGATTTATTGGTTTCCTATCTAGCATTGGTACCTCCTTGGCAAACTTGGTGAAAACATAATTTTCCCATTAACTGATAGAGCATTCCACACTTATCTGCCATATAGCTATGGATACGATCTGTGTTGTCACCAAGAACCACTGCGGTTACCTTCGTTTCATAAACCCAGCCTACCCAGCCGAGCAGGGTTTTACTTGCATCTGGAGCCATCAGATGTGCTGCTTCACAATTCCAGCGCTCATCAGCCTGGACCTCATCCAAATACCTGACACTCAGTCACCAGTGTCTCTCCTCCAAAATGAGTTGGCTCTGACATGTTACTGCTTTATTAGCTCAACAATTAGGCAGCCCTTTAAGAAGTTTCAAGGTGGTTTCAAAGTTGCTTAAGTGATCTGCTCCATGAAAGCATTCAAACTGGAACACAGCACTATGGGAAAGTCATTAATTTACACCTGTAAACTTATTACGGTTGTAATTACTACAGTTACAATTAAATCCACTTCTGGGTGGAACAGGAAAACCGTTTTGCCAGGCTGCCAAATGTGGCATGAACAGATACATCACTGCTCTTGGTGCTTATTAAAGTCTCCCACACTGAAAAGATAACGTAAATGAGGCTTTCTGCACCAAAGGAAATGAGAAGTACAAGAGCTGGACAACCACACACCCACAGTATGGATATTCACGTAGAAAACTGCAGTATTTACTGAAAGAGCGGACTACCTCAAACCTTAGAGAGCTGAACAGTCGCCATCATTTCAACTGAAAGTATCTGTGGTCCCATCAAAGTCTACTCTAAAGGTGTTACCGCTTTGGGTATGTGCGGATGTAGTTTAGCATCTGCAGGCACAAGCTCAGGCTGGAACTAGAGCAGTGCCTCAGCCGGGCCCTCTACCCGGGCTTGACCCAGCAGAATTTGGCCACAGAGGCTGCGACTCTGAGGTGAGTCAGTGCCTCTGCCCAGCGCTCTGTAGACATACCGGTTCACTCGGGTGTAGTATCTGCAGCGTGCAGTAAAGACGTGCCCTGTGTTTTCCTCCTACTTGCTGCCTCTCCTCTTCATTCATCTATCTCCCCTGCATTTTTGGAATAGAGTTTGCTTTTCTCGTGCTCTATTACAAAAAAAGTCCATTATAGCGATAGCTGCAGAGCCTGTTACTACTGGAAGAGGAGCTCTCTGCTGACATCACAGCATACATCAGGAATAACACAGCCACCCTGCCACAATTTCTTTCCATCCCGGGCACTCTGGGGCAATCTGAGGCATCTCAAGACAGTTAAACTGATCAGACCTATGAATGTCAGCAAGGCCCAAAAACCTTTGCTGTCACCCACCTACTGCCAGTAGCTGCTTTTCAAAATAAAAGATAAATTAGAAATAATTATCCCTGACATCACAGCGCATGAAATGCTCGCTTTCATGGCTTTTATTCTCTCCATAAAATGTATCTGTATACCTGATATGTCCCCAGTCGACTCCTTCAAAAAACGGATGACTTTTTATTTCCTCTACTCCATTACTACCAATTCTATTTTCTGAGTCGATACAAAACCTGAAAAAGTAGAAGAAATAAAGGGAATGTTACAATAAATGCAGACAGAAGCAACAGCAAATAAAACTTCCATGGCATCCTGTATCAGGAATTTGAGGAATTTCCTCCAAATTGTTCCATCACTTTGGGGTAATGTAAAAGCAGCCCGTTGTACCTAGGAAAGGAGGGAAATAGTAGAAGCAGAATATTGTTAGAGTCCCAGAACAAAAAGCCACGATGATCATAACTTACACCTTTTCTAAAAAGTTGCATCCCCATCTTCAAGGTTTGTGAAAAGTTGCTGCAAGTTCTCGCCCTGTAAGATTAGCTTGGAATGGAGGCTTAAGTCCCTACCGCTGAGAACTCCTCTGCATGTTCTCAGCTATTTAAAATCCATGTTTCACAGTCAAACTGACAGGAACAGATACAGTTAGTGAAACAGGACTACTGTCCGATGTCACATTTTGGAACTACAATGAGCCAACAGACACATTTCAAAACATGCCATGTTCCTGTTCTCCCTGTCGGCTCCTCTTCCCTCTCCTTAGAAGTCCAGGTGCTGGTGGTACAAAGACCCAGGCCTATTTCTGATATGGCCCAGCTGCATAACCACCTCAAACTCCAGAATAAAACGTCAATTTATGAGAAGCAGCTGTGGAAAAGTCTGCAGAGTCAAGTAAGAAAAAGAAACGGTGAAATTGGAGACAGAGGACTGTGGAGATAGCAACTGTTACCTGCTCAAGTAGGCAGGAAGAAAAACAGCATCAAGAGAAGTATAACGTCCTAAAAAGATAGGCAGGTGACAGCTCTCCAACAGCAACTCGGCAACATCAAGGATTTGTTCCAGGGAGCAGCAGAGGCTGCCGACTCCTTTGGACTGACACCTGCCTGGCTGGAAAAGACTCTGAAATATCTCATGAAGGAGATGGGGAGCATACCAAGGCTTAGCCTAGGAGTTCATGAAATCCTAGCTATCTTGTATGCGTTAGCAAAGATATAACTGCTTTATATATTTACACTGTCCTTGCAGCCTCTTTGAGCATGGCAAAAGGTGTCAAAAGTGACAGAAAGAGGGAGGTTTACAATAACAGGGAAAAAAAGCCCATGTCAAACAAAAAGCTTGGTCTTGCCAAGCGTAGAGTCACCTGACGATCTCCTGGAAGTGGGGAGCACTTGGTAGGATGGGGATGTGGGCCTCCTGTTGCTCTAAGCAGGTCAGTTGGCCTCTGTTAAATGAAATCCTGTTTGTATAGATGAGCAAAGCCTCTGGTTGGTGATTTAGTTATCCTGAACTCATCATCTCTCCACATGATCACATCATCCACATTCGCAAGGAGCTTTTCACATCAATACATAAAAGGTCATCTCGCTGCTTAGTGAAATTTTCAGCAGGTAATTTAGTAATATAGCAAGTTAGGCTATAGACTGTCTCCCATTAGAGACCATAATGTTCTTTTACTTGTAGTTAAGTGTCATTTGGGGAAAAAAAAGCAGCTGATATTTCTGCTGCAGCCCCGCCAGAGTATTGATGCCAAGTACTAGTAATAGACCTCAAACCTTGTAACAAGCCAGACCAAGTCTCAGGATTTGTCAGACTTTGTCTAAATTTGAGCTTATTTTAGTTTGGGTTTATCTGTATCCATAAAAATAGAGAAACTTTAGCTTTGTCTGCAACTTCCTTTAGGCTGAAACAACCATTGTCTAACTTGTCCAAGCTGTAATGGACGAAGTACCCAATGGCCAGGTGTTTGTTGCAGAACCTGCTGTTTTCACCTTGCTTTAGTAAGTTGTCTATAACTAAAGATGTTTTACCCTAATTTAAATCCTTCCATATACGGGGAAAAGCTAATAAATTCACGTAGCCATTGTATAATTGAATTCATGAGCCAATCAGCAAGACAAATAAATTGCCCAAAATATCTGAAAAATGCCCCAAACACAGCCAAGACTGAGGAGGAAGAAATCCTTAGCAGCACCACTGCACTCTTTCTAGCAAAGAAATCAGGATGCTGACAGAGAGAGGTTATGCAAAACACTAGAGAAATAGATACTGAAAGAGTAATAAAACAGTTATACTCAAACTTATTAATGAATATTAGCAATAATTAAATAATTTGAACTATGTTAGTATCACTGTAACTGGATTAAGAATAACTGTTGTTATGTTTACGGTATGCTACTGGAGCACTGCGTGGACTAATAATAAGTTCAAGTTCTTGGCTCTGCCTATTCAGTACATTCCCCTTTTTCCCCTGGAACAAAATCACGTAAGCTTGTAATATTATCTTCTTTTTTTTTCCCCCAAAAATCAAAGCCGAAAAACAATCCCTTCCAAAACACCCCAAGGCAAGAGAGCATTTCTGCCTGACCTTCACACCAAAATCCCTCCCAAAAACTTCAATGCAAACTGAATGGATTAAACACTGGTGTTTTGGAAGAAGTGAGTAAATCCAAAACACCAAAAGATTTCTGTTCAGTGCATTAGATGCCGCTGAGCGATTTTCCCTCTGAGAAGAGAAAAATTGTCTGTTAATCACTTCCCCCCCTTCTTTTTTTCAGGTCTGCTCTGTTTCTCGTGATACAGTGGTACAAATCAAGATCATTACAGCTTATACCTTCACGGTAAACAAATGGCAAAGGGAAAAAGACTGAAAAAAAAAAAAAATCCATCAAGGATGGCAACACCGAAGAAACCAACTCTCCCTCCAATCTAAAGCTTCCTTCCTGCAGAATGGAAATGTACCCTAATGGAAGATGACTATATCTGGGTGAGCAGCCAGAAGTGGGCTTTTGTTACTGACCTTAGAATTAAATCCTTTGCTTTCTCTGAAATGGGCACCTCTGGAGGAAATACCAACGTTTCTTTCCAGTTCATAACTTTCCTATAAGTTTCTTGTGGCGTTTCTGAGCAGAAAGGTGGATACCCTGCACAAACAGACAGAAAAATTAACAAGCTTTTCCCAGAAGAGGAAAGTGACCTGGGCCTCTATTTTGCCACCATAGCTCCCAAATCTAACAACCAGTAGTAGCCAACAGTTTTCTTTTTTGTAATGTAACATTAAAGGTTATTTTGTTATTTCCAAGTAATGAGACTGAACCTCAGAAATATCTAATAGTGAACAGTTATTCACCAAAACAACTAATTGAGGCATCATCTCTTGCTGTTTTCTTAGAAAGGTGGGAGGACTTCAAAGTCTTCTGGAAGCTGAATTTGGGGTTACTTCAGGAAGAACTGAATGAAATTCTGGTACCTCCACTATGCTGGGGATCAGACTCCGTGAACTAATGGACACTGTTACCTTTAAACACTTTGAATGATTCTTAGGTTGGGTCTTTAACATACCTATTAGCATTTCATACATAATCACTCCCAAAGACCACCAGTCACACAGCTTGTTGTACCCAGTCTGCATAAATACTTCTGGTGCAATATAGTCTGGGGTTCCAACAGTAGAATATGCCTGGAAAAAAAAGAATAAACCCTTTAAAAGATAAAAACTACGTTTTTACAGTTTGCAAAACCTTTTCCTGAGGATTCACATATAGAAGCTTGCTATTTGGCTGGACAAGAATGCTTAATTTGGGATTTTAGATACTGTGAATTCCCAAGAACATTATTCTTTTACATGAGTAAGAAGAGAGAAGCTTGAAAGTAAATGGAAATCCTTCTCCTAAACGTGACGAAATCACAGAATATTCCTACTGCAATGTCAGGTCATCTTAGCTAAAGTTTCAGATAGCTCCATTACTAAAATACCCAAGAAGTTCTGATGTTGTAGTTGTGGTTTGGGTTTGTTTTTTTTTTTTTTTTTTTTAAAAAAAAGGGATAACCAGTGGTAGATTCCCATGTCTGACACTCGTAATACACTAGCTGTTCCATGTATTATCTTGCCTTTATTGCAAAATTAATTTGAGCTCTTACTGGACCCAGGATCCATCCCTTTAACCTTTTGAACATGCAGACTAGCTGATTTTGGCTAACGACTAAATCTCAAACTATTTGGTAATTTCTCTTTACTGATGGAAAATTTTGCACAGGGCAAGGGGAAAAAAAAAACCAACAAAAACCCATAAAACCAAAAAAGTCCACAAAAAACAGTTTTGCCAGAAAAATCTTTTACTTTCATTTTTCTGACCGGAAACAAAATACTTCATTTTATCGAACAGAGCCAAAACATTTAGTTTTGAATCAACTGAAAACCTAGCATGCGGCTCCGTTTCATATAGTGTTGATACAAGTTGTCTTTTCAGCCTTTTATTCTCTCTGTTGGACTGTCTCATGATTCATCGAACTTCACCACACCATTCTGCCACGTCAGTTACTGACCTGGAGATGTATCTTTTCAGGGATCTAACCGCAATCAGGAGGTAAGGGCATGAAACACAACCCCTGTGAGGCAGCACGATTGCAATGTAATCTCACGATGTCTCATGAGGAAAGAAAAAACAACCCCAAAGCCTTTTGGGAATACTGTGGCATATCGCTTTTTAAACAGTGTGCTAAACAAAAAGTTTCAAAATATGAAAACTGAGGTTTTTGCAACTGCTACTTGGTGAAAATCATGAGCAGGGCTAAAATTCTGAAGTCCCGTGGCTGACAGATACTTTCCTTTGACTCAGTTAACACCAGAGGGCCCTTTATTACTTGACCACTTGGTACAAACCCAAGCTGCACCACTCTAGTGCCAATATCCTCCACTGCCTTTCCATCATATTCCCATTCAGCAGAAGGACAAACAAGTTTTCCCCGCAATTCTTTTTCAAAGAGTCACGCTGCTACGCATCTTCTTGTGACGCTGAACTGCAGGAGTTAAAGCCAGGAGTTCACACACAGTATCAATGCCAGGTCAGTTTAGGAGACAAACTCAAAGTACGGCTTTGCTAAGCCGTTGCTGACACCGGAGGTCAGTTAGTCCAAATGCTCATAAGGGAAACAAAGGCCTGGAGAAGAGCAGGGCCTTGCTAGTCACAGCTCTGAAAACAGGTAGACGAAGCCACCCAGCTGATGGTCATCCTTCCACTCTTCCTCCAATCTCTGAGCTATTCCACAACTGGAATCACTAGACGACCTTCTTTTGAGTTAACTGAAATTTTGGGAGCTTGAGGAGAGCAACGTCTGTAAGACATGAGGGCCTTCCAGTTTTTAAAAAACAGCAGCATTAATGCTCCGTTTTTATTTAATAGTAATAGTTGAAAAGAAAAAAAAGCTATACATGATTTTATCAACTCACCAGCTGCCGCCTGTTCTTCTTCCATGTTTCTGCTTTTCTCTTTGAGTTCATATTCTGAAATGCTAATTTACAAAATAGTTATTAGATAATAAATGCATTCGAGAATTAAAAGAAAAGAGTGATAACGTTCTGTTTTCAAAGAATAACTATTTTATGTCTTTAGAATGCTTTAGTCTAGAAACAAATACTTGATTATAACTGGAGATGGGAAAATGATAATGAATAACTACTGTCCAATTTGCAGCTGAAACTCATGTAAGTAGGACACATGGTCAGCAATTCTAAAATTAGAACTTGCTAAAAGTCTTACAGATTGATCTGAGAACAGCACCACTTATTGTTGCAGCTGGCAATGTATATTCAGATACAGGCGATGTTTTTTTAAGCAACAAGCAAAGAATCTAAGGAACTGCAGACGAATTTTACATTTGTAGAATAAAACACTAATGTGGATGTGTCACCAAGGCACATTGATGAACAACTTTACTCTTATGAAAAGCTTCCTGAGATTGTCACTGACTTCAGTGAGCCGGCACGTGAAACTCATGTCCCTTCTGAAAGGGTGTTTCTGTAACTTCACTAATATTGTTACGAAAAATACATTAAAATATAGATACATTACATTATGTGTATTTGTATCTGCGTACAAATGTGCAAAAATACATTGACATTGCAGAAATCGTAATAGCATTCCTGTGAAATGCTTCCGTGTCCCAGGGAACGTGCATGTCCAGTTTTCCAATTAAATGCAACCAGCCTGACCAATCTTGCTCAACCCAGCAGAAACGAATTATAACGTGGCACAGCTGCAGCTCAAAACTATTTCAATATTGAACTAGGACACCCTATACTTACAGAAGTCACTTGGCGGGTTGTGTGTAAGGTTCCTGTAGAACTCAGTCCTGTGAGCTTTCTTTAACCCTGTACATAGCCCAAAATCAGACAGTTTTACATGACCCTAAAAAAAAATAAAAATCAGAGAAGATAAAAATGTGATTTAGAAAGGCAATGCTCAAAAAAAAGTTTCAATAACTGCACTTGCCTTCTCAGGCCACGATGGACTTGCACAGGACTACCTAATCCAGGACAAGTAGGCAAATAATGACTGAATCTTGATGTACTGCAAGACCGTGTTTTCTCTCAAAACAGTTATTGCTCCCTGCCCCAGGAATGGTTACATCTACAATTCTGCAACAGCAGAGGGCAGCTAGTTTGCCTGGTTTTGTTCTGAACTGGATACCACGGAGACTGAGAAAACCTCCAGGACAAAATTCCTTTGTTTTGTTTTGATGGCAACCTGTTTTTAATCAGGTTTCCAGGTGTCAGTTCTAGATGGTCTACACATTTGTGCGTGATGCTTACTGGGTCTGTTTCATGGCTCGCTATAGCCAGTCTGACATACAGTGTTTCCACTGGTGAGTGGGTAATAAAACAAACACGATAATGCAGGAACTGAACAATTTCACATTGTCTGAATGTTTCATGCTTTCATTCCACTTGAAGTAACTAAGTGTATCAGTTTTTAATGTGTATGAATATGAGCATCCGGACAAGGCTTTCCAACAAAAAACAAGGGCAGTTTTGCTTTGTTTAAGTAGACTAGTGTTGAACAGGAAAGATTATGACCACTTTCTGCCTTTACTCCAGCTAGTTTAAAATCACTGATATGGCACTACTGGTTCCCACCAATTAGCGCCACTATAAATGGCATTATCTGCGGACTGGTATGTTTAAAGCATAGGCAGTTTACATGCACATTACATGCCTTAGCATCCAGCAGAAGGTTATCTGGTTTAATATCTCTGTGGATGAATCCCAGCTGGTGAATAGCATCTATGGCCAGCACAGTTTCAGAAATGTAAAACTGTGTCTCTTCTTCTGATAAGGTGTCTTTCTTCATTAGTAAGGTCATCATGTCACCTAATCAAAGAGCAGAAAATACAGCTTGGAAATCAGAACATTTTAATCACAAGACTAATTCTATGTGAAACCCCAGCAGAATCCAAATTTAACCTTGTAACTGGCCTTGTAGCTACTAATTATGAAACTATTACTGCAAGGACCTACAAACCCAAAATACTTTTTCAGTAAACTGGATGTAAAACTGTTGAAAATCCTAAATAGGAATTTTAATTGGATAGCTCAAGAAGGTACAGTGAATTTTAATGCATAATACATCTACTGCATGTATTTACTGGCTTTGTGTATTGCATGCATTTACTAGCTTCAGCAGTAAAAAGCAGAACACTGGATCAGAATAATTATTTAATCCAAGTCTATTTTAATACCCTTCCATAACCTTTCTCCTCCTACTGAAAATCAAGAGTGATTACATTACTGGGACTTCATTTAAAACAGCATTAAATTTTTTTAGGATAACAAATTATACAGCATGCTTGTTTCTAACATTTTATGAAGCTGACAACGAAAGCTAAGGAAGAAGTACTTCTATCATCTAACACCACAACAAACAGCTTACCTCCAGGTAAGAACTCCATGATCAGGTAAAGATTTCTTTTATCCTGAAAGCTGTAAAACATTTTCACTACCCAGGCTCCATCAGCTTCAACCAAAATATCTCTTTCTGCTCGGATATGGGCCACCTAGAATTTTTTTAAAAATACTGCTATTAAAGGGCAATTTAAATATTTCAACAAGGAATACCACATTATATTCCTAGTCCTACAGTATATTTTCATGATCTTTAATGAAAAAAAACATTTTTCATACTCTTTTAATACTCATATTTTTCATAGTTTTTTACTTAAACACTACAAAGTCCTCACAAAATACCCAGCAGAAACACACAGAAGTCAACGCAATGTTGAAATAACTGCTTACACAACTTTGCAGAAGCATAGCTTGTTAGGCTCTTTCTGTTCGTTGGAAAGAACTGAAAAAGCTGGTGGAAAAGTGCAATTCCCCTTTTTATTATTACCCTAAAATGAGATAGGAACATTAAAAAAAAAAAAAAAATAGAGCTGACCATCACAGAGCTTTATATGGCACTGCAAGCTCAGAGAAAAATGTTATGTGCAATTCAAGGTGCAAATACTGACAAAGTTACTGAAAAAGGCCAGAGCTGGTCTTAAAGAATACAAGAACCAAGAGGTAAAATAGTAGACGCATTATGATTACCGTCAGAAGTTACAAGATTTCTCGTATACGTATACAAACAAACAAAAAACTAATAGCTACTTCCACACAGATATCTCACAGTTTAAACTAGGCAAGATAAGCCTGGGGAATCTTCTCCAGCAAGAGTGACAGAGTGCCTAAACGAATTACTTCCTGCAAAACCCCATTCCTTTATTGCTGTGCAAACAGAGAAATATCTTAATTACATTACAGTGAACTACTGTGTAGTTCCCCAGCCCACATTGCACACGCTGCTGATGGTGTGTGAACCCCCTCCAGATGGTACGCGGAGACTGCTCCCATGTGTGTACATGGCAAACTTGACTGGAACTGCATGGCAAGTGCCTTGTCCAAGTGGGAAAAGGGGCTGGGATGAGTTTCGGCCCTTACAGATGACAGCAGGTAGCAACAAGCTCAGTGGCCAGCGTTAACGCAGTGCAAAAAAAGGTAAGGGTCTTGGGCTGTTTAAGGGGGAGGAAAGGGAAAAGAAGATGGAGCCATTCCTCCAAGTGACATGCATGAAGCTGGCCCAGAACTGATGCGGCCAGCACTGCTGCTGATGTTGGCCCTGGGCAAGTGAGTTTGGGAATGTCTGACCTTGCTCAGGATATTCCAGTCCCAGCTGAGGCTTTGAAAAACACATGGAGAGCTGCTACCCCGTGAATTCACTGGAAACTAAGAGTAATGGAGATCGGAGGAGAGGTGTACAAATCACTACAGTGTACCCTCACCCTGAAGGAAAATGAAAGACACATACGTGGAAAAATATTTCTTGATAGCTGCAAGATTTTCATTATTCATACACCAGAAAGCATCTTTGGAGAGAAAATATGTACCACTGTTCCAGCTTTGAGGGCTACTTCCAATAAGCAGCAAACAATCTTCTGCATCTCTACCCCAATTCTACTGGCCAGGAGCATCTTTGCATGTAAGTGTTCTTTTCACGAGGTTTCACAGGGCAATGGGTTCTCTCTCTGTAGCAGGCACTCCAACTTTGGTTTGTCTAGATCCACCTATTCTCGTTAGAAAATATTTCTTTCCACCCTCCACTCCTCCACGTAATTATAAAATATAATATTAAATCCTTGCTTAAAAACCAGTGCTCTCAGGCTTGAAAAAAAAAATAATCTTAGTTTTCTTGTATTTGTGTCCCGTGTTGCTTTCCGTTGAACAAACCAGGCAATGAAAATTACAGCAGATAAACACTCTCCAGGGAAGATTACCATCCCAACCTAAATGGAGAGAGTGAGCTCAGCCTCCTTACCACATCAAGTTATGAAATGGGGGCGGGGCTTCAACCAGAGGGCCACACACATCCCGACTGCTGTGCAGAACATGCTGCTGCTCCTCTGGTTCCCTATATTCAGGGCATGAGCTTGAGGAGACAAAAAGCATGCGCCAGGAAAAAAAAATGAAGTACAAGTACCACTGCAGGGAAATGTCATACAAGAACAAATGATGGGCAAAGTTTGGACAGGTGAGGAAAGTCCTCTTTTATCTACCCTTTCGCTTGAGACATCCATGCTTGATTTCTTTGCTTTGCGGTGCTACAGTACTTGCTGTGTCCTACCAGGAATTTGCAGTGAACTGTCAACTAAAAAGTAAAAGCAAAAACCAAACCAAACTAACAAAACCAAAGCAAACAAAAACAAGACAAGACCTGACTAGAAATGAAAACAAAGCCAATGAACAATGTAACATCTGTTGGTATCTAACGATCAAAAGAAAACATCAAGTACTCCCAGTTTTTACTTTGGCACAGTATTACTTTTCTTGAAATGCAGTTTTACAGATTAAGTACTATAGGGTCTGCGTTAATAAAGGAAGGGATAAAAAAACCCCATCATTGTCACTATTCCAAATTGGTTGTCCATGAAACATTTTAAAAAATGCTGCTACATGACCTTATTTCCTAACTTCTACTTATTCTTTTGTACCGTGGTAGCAACTCCATAGGTGCTTTGGACTGCTATACCATTCTCGGGGCTACAGAATGGGAAAACAGCACCAAATAGTATCTGTCGCAAAGAACTTCAGCAATTTTCCAGACAGTGTAAGTTTGAAATCTAGGGGACATATACAACACAAACCTGCTCTTTCTCCAGCATATCTGCTTTTCTTAGTATCTTCATTGCATAAATATGACCTGTATCCTTCTTCTGAACAAGGCGTACCTATAATGAGAAACATAAGCCCATCAATCTTCTCTACCTCAGAAACTAGACCCCAGCAGGGAACCTATTGGAAGGCTCATAATTGCTGGGCATGGAAAAGTTCTGTTGTTAAACATTTAAGAACACACAGAAAAAAAAAAATATTTCTACACCATGTACAACACTAACACTAGGGATAAACAGATAGTTTGAAGTAGTTACTGTTTTAGGAAAAGTTAGCAGGCACAGTAAATTCCAGGTAGCTGTGAGATTGCGTACACTAAAATTCAGAAGCAGAGACAACCATGATGTGACGCGGCAGGGAGGATGTTTACGGAGAGGAGCTGTGCAACTGCAAATCCATCTTTTCAGGGGGCCACATGGGCAACATCAGTTTGGGCTAATAAGAAACTGTGGGAAAATAAGGGCCTTTCCAGGGGCCTTGAGAAATCAATGCACATAATTCATCACTGGACTTACCACACTTTCACAGTTACTCAAATAGCCATTCTTATGCAATAGAACTCCCCAACTGGAACTTTTTATTCTGTAATTAAACTGTTTCATTTTAACGTTCAATGCAATTTTAATATCCTATTCAAGCAAGAAAGCCACAAACCTCCCCAAATGCTCCTCTTCCTATAACTTTCAAAGATTCAAAGTCATCCAGGCCAAGTCTAGTCCTCTTCAGTCGCAGAAACTCTGTTTCTTTGCGAGCGTGTTGTGACCTGCGCAGTTTTTTCTAAGGAGACACATACACAGAAATTTATAAGTCATTTGACAGTATAAAGTCAAGATATACAATTTCCCTTCCTGGGAAGTATTGTCTCTCCCATTAGGATTACAGAGAAAACGTAAAAGGAGAAGTCTTTCTGAATTTTTCAAAGTTCCACACACAGAGTCTTTTATATAGAGGCCTCATGCTCAGTTTCACTTTTTTTTTTGGGTGGGGTGGGGTGTGTTTTATGTTATTACTTAGATATAAAGAAAGAGTAATAAAAAATAATGAAAAAAAATAATCATACTGGTTCAAACTAAGTACATCAGTCCAAAGGCCAAAGTCACTAGCTGAGGCAAGGACTCTTGTTTTTGGGCAGTGTGAAGGATCAATAGAAGCTGAAACTTGCAGCCCACCAAAAAGAGTGATGACAAGCAACAAGGAGCCTAACAGGCAGCAGAGATCCAATTTACACTATCTATAGCAAAATCCATTTGGTTTAGGGCTGGCAAACGCTCGTATTTGAATGAAAAATCTGTCGAAGTGCTGTCATATATTTTTTTCTATAAAAATGTCAAGGGGATTCACTCTGAGAGGAGACAAATGCTGACCTATGCTCCCAATGATGCTGAGAAGATCTCAGAGACTACTAAACAAGACCAAGTACTAAATCAGGCACCTGCCAGATTTTGTACTGGGATGACAGTGTCATCTGAAACCACAAGATGGCATTACACACCCACACTCACTTTTCCCTCTTCCCAGAAGTTACTCAGAAATGAGGGAGGCACTGTTCCTACTTATTTCCCTGCCTATCCTGAAGGCAGTCCAGGCAGCAGTGGTGTGGTGGACCTCAAGAAAAGCAACTTAATGACCAAAGTTCTGAGAGATATCAACTGGACAGACATCCCTCCTCATCAGATTCCAAATGGAGCAAGTGTGTGCCCACTTTATTGTTTAAATCAAGAAAAAATGGTTCAGCATTTTGCTTTCTACCCCCTCCTTCCAAGCACATCTCATCTTTTTTTCTTGCCAAATATAATGGCAAACAATTTTAATCTTTGGAAAGTATGCTATATACTTGCTGTGGCCATATGTCTCATAAGAACTAAGGGTGGCACGAAAAGCCTTAGCTATTGCAAGTATCATTCAAGCATATTCACAGCTTCCCTAATAAACAAGCTATTTACAGGGCCAACGTTCATTTACAAAGTAGAACTTAATGCCATGCTAGCTAATGTTTCTGTAAGCTCAAATGCCATTTTGAAGTAGTGCAAAAAAAGCAAAGCGATCTCTTCAAAGGTCACTCAGGTAGTTTTACCTCCTCGTCTGCGAGGCCTTCCTCTTCCATAGCCACTTCTAGCTTCTTCTGCCTGCAAAGAGGAGAAACAGAAAATTGCTTTTTTAATTATTTGTTAAAAAGAAACGAACGCTACAGCAAGGTGCCTTTACTTCACATATTCCAGATACCGAAGAGTTTGCCTCAAATGGAAATTTGAAGACTTACTGCCCACTCCATCCATTCAATCATTTGTGACTAAAGCTGTTGAAAATGTATAAGCAAATTTAAGCACATACTTATGTGTTTGCAGAATTAGGCATTAAAGGTCCAAACATATAATCATTTTAATGACTTGTATTTCTTCATATAATCGTGTTGAAGTAAGGCTGTTTTTATCAATTAAGAGTGCAAATCAGAATAAACTTTTTTCACCATTTCTATCTCAGGTCTACCTCCAACACCTCAGCCAGCTCCAGCTTTCACCCCCACTCTCAGCCTTGCTGACCTCTCCCTGGTTACACACCTGGTCCTGCCCCCCTTTACCCTCATGCCTACTAACTCTACCCCTCTGAATTCATCTTCATCATCTCCTCCCAGCGTCCTGTCCAAGCCAGGGCTCACCAGTCCCGGGGCTCCTCCAGCTGGTGCCACGCCAGGCTGGGAGTCTCAGTGGAGAGCGAAGCCTGGGGGTACCCCACAGATGGCAGAGGGTCAGCATGTGGCACCGTGTCTACTGGACCCCTCTTTTTCCACCTGCAAGTTGCTGCTTTATGACTGTCAAAGTGAAGCTTTCAGAAAGCCGGTTACCCACCAGCAGGGGCCAGGAGTTCAAAGGCTGGGTGCCAGGCTGCTGGTGTCTTTCCGCACTTTGGGAAGCACAGCAGGATCCCCTAAATTAAAGGCCCTCGGTACACAGTCTATTCTCCTAACTGGAAGGAACTCAGTTACATGGGATAATGTCTAAATATGATGAAGAGAGCAACCCTGCTGCTCAGTTGAAAACCCCTCAATTAAAAACATATTACCAGGGGAACGATAATTTCACATGCTGATGACAATTTGAAACACAACATTCATTATAATCAAATGCTTGGTGCTTTGACAATTCAAGTAGCTCTTCACAACATCAGAGGCAGAATTGGGCACCAATGAGAGAAGTTAAAAGTGGAGTTGACCAATGCAAGGAGTACCAGTCAACACCATCCAAGAATAATTTAGAGGTGCGTATTACATTACCCCCAAAATTCTTCCTGCCCATCCAAGAGCCTCTCAAACCCTCCCATCACCAACTCTATGCTCTTTACTGCCACTTATTCCCATTCCAGGCCACCCTCATCTCTCTGCCTCCTTTCTTTACCCCATCACCCTGTGAAACACCTCTCCTATCGGTCCTGTTCCCTACCTCCTGTACACTCCCTTCTGCAGGGTTTATGAGTCTTGGCACGAGCTCCATGCTGCAGAGCATGAATAGCCACCACGAGCCACTGCCTTACACAAAACCAGGTTACCACCCTTGAGCAGCTCTGCAGCTGCTCTACCTCTGTAGAGTTTATTCCCTGTGGCACGTGCAGAGGAACTGGAAGTCACCAACCCCACACGCAGAAACAGAAACCTCACGCGTGCTGCAAAATAAGACCCTGCCCAGAGCGGTTTCTGCAAAGTAATAATAATCTGATGAGGAGGTAGGTTGTATGAGAATGTCAAAAGCGGATGCCCTTGGTCACTTGGTGACTGCTTGATGCCAGTAACAGGGGATGTTCACAAGTCTACCAGCACAGCCAGCAGCTGAAAGGTACCTCGTGCCCTTTGGGGAGTAGCTCCTTGATACCTGGTACAGAAAAACTTCTGAGAACAGCTCTGTGCCTGGGGGTCAAAGTACCCCTGAACAAATACCACCAAAAGCCAACCAAGAAAAGCTGAAGAGGGGTGAGAGGAAGCAGAGCCAGTACCTGGTTTCTCTCTCTTCGTGCTGTATAATTAGGTTGCTGTAGAAGTTCTCCAGTGTAAGTTTGGCCACCGTCACTCTCTCCCGGGTGTGATTACTCATGGGAAAGGATGTTGTAGTCCCTGCAGTCATCGCCATGGTAACATGTACTGAAACAGAGCATGTCAAATCGTTACTCACTTGAAAAAATAAAATTAAAAAAAAAATAAAATATGTATATTCCTCTTTCCCACTTTCCATCTCCAAATTCTTAGACGCTATAAAATTCGCAGGAAAGGCGCTGTTCTTTAGATATAAAAAACTCCATTAAAAAACTGTATTATAAAATTATCCCAAGATAGCAAGAGGACTTACTACCCACTCTCTAAAAAAAATAACAACATGTTGGCAAAACACAGGGTGAATCATAGCAAAGAATTATGCAGGCTACAGGCAGCTCATCCAGCAGCGCTTGTCCACAAATGAGGAAAATGTACCTCCGGCGGACGTGAGCCCAGTCTGGGGAAGGGAAAAGGTGGCGGAGTGCAGAAAAGAAAAGAGGGAAGCGAGAGGAGGACCAGGCAGGTCCCACAGCTGGAAATGCCACAACTCTGACAGCTTCAGGTTCTAGAAATGCCAGGTGCTACCAAAAGAACAGGATAAAATGAAAAAGTAAATGCACAAAAATCCTAATACCATCCAGAAGAGAAGGTATTTCAAGGACAGAAGACAGCCATCAAATATCTTTGAATTTTAAAGCCGCTCAACAAAATTGCATGTGGAAATCTAGAAATCATCCCAGGAAAATGAAATCATGGAATTGCTGGATTTCAAATGGAAAACTTCTGTTGCTGTTTTTTTGTTTGGCTGTTTTCTTAAAGCAACAACCAGCCACCAAAAATAGAAAACCCTTCCCCGTCACAAGGCCATTAGGCAGCCAGTCTTTCCGTTTGCCTCCTTTCCGACCACCCCTGTGCAATGCCACCGACGAAATGAGGGTTTTCTGGAGCGGCTGCTCGTTACAGAGCTCCCTGTGCTTGGATTCTCAGATTCGGGGGCGGGGGGGAATCTTCTTATGCAGCTGTAAATGCGTTGCGCATGTAGATAAAGTACTTATAGGTCAGGGCAGGTGGTCACTGAGCACTTAAAAACTGGAAAGAAAGAGGAAAGAAGAACGGCTGCTCTCTTCGATAGCTTTCATCTTGAACCCAAAGAATTTGGATGTCTAGAATGTCACTTTTAATGCGGGGGGAAAAAAAGAGATCTTAGGGCAGTTCTGAACCTCTTGCAGCTGGTCTAGGGAAGCTAGAGGAGTTTTAAAAAAAGCACAGTCTGTCCTAGGACTCACGCCCTACCTGGAAGTGGGTTGAGGCACTTCAGGAGAGCCTCAGAGAGGGCAGCCACAAATAGCAGCATCTCAGCCCCACGCTCATTTGTTCAGGCTGTTTTGGGGTTGGTTTTGGAAAATTACACAGCAGTACATACACTTCCTTTTGATTATTTACGTAACCCTTCTATTTCACCAGGGGATTTTGAGGAAGACAAATCCCAAATTAGGTTTATGATTTTCAAGGAGATCCTAATACCTTTTAAGGTGAACCGATTAAAAGTTTCGTACAAAAGAAAACTTGCGTGTCCATAGCAGACAGGAAGATTGCTTAATTCTACTCTGGGTTTTTTGTTTTGGATTTCCCTGCTACCCTCTGTGAAGACAGCATTTCATCGTGTGGATTTTTAATTGGATTTGGTGCAACAATAAGATATTTGTTGTCAGAAATGCAGCTGCTGTGTCACAAATAAAGGCGTTTTATAGCATTACATACATATTATTTTAGCTGTGTATTTTGGAGTGTGCAAGATGCCGGAGTTCTGGGAATAAAAATGTATTTCTCTATACATATACAATGAGGTTTTAATAGCACTACAGCTGCTTTATGATGATGTCAATATTTCTGTTTTTTAATCAAACTTTTATCCCCTTTCATTTTCTACTAAAGAAATATAAGAGTTGCCAACTGTTAATAATCTTTACTAAAAATCAAGGGGTTTATCCTTCACACAAACACGTACCCCATACTGGACACTTCTTGAAAAGTTGAAGAACTTGGCTCTGCTGACCATATTGAGTCTGTGATACAATATTACACTCTCTTTCTCTTTTGATAGGTAGGAAGAGGTAAACATAAAACAGGTACCTGAGAGCAAAACTTACAGCATGTTGACACACCCAAATCAAACAGAGCAAAGGCTGACCACGTACTGGCATCTGTGATTAAGTTATTTCAAGAAATGACCTAATAGAGTAAAAACCCGCCTTCTGATCATTTTGGAGTGTCAGGATAACATAGCATTAACCCAGGCTTGAAATGGATTAACCTTTACTTAAGGTATAACGAGTGCACTCTAGCACCGGCAAGCAACAGGATATTTATCCTTTGCACGTCTTGTATTCCTGGTGGGATAAAATAACACCGCAATTTTGTTTCCTGTTAATTTGTTTTCCCCATGCTCCTATACTCACAAATGCAGACATTACCAAATAGCAAATCTAAGTGACTTGATTTTATTAAGCCTGTAAAAAGGAGATAACAAATCTGGCACTAGCACATCACGCTATAAATAGCGGGGTTGACCCTCTCTGTGGTTCTACAGTAGGAAAATATAGACAAGAACCCAACCTGTAAGCTAACAAGCTCAGAGAAAGCTATTTAACAAAGAAGAAACTCATACCTACTTCCCCATCATACCATGGCATGAGGCCACCAAAGCAGGAGGGATACATCACCAGAAGCGTTTGCTTCCAGCATCCCACGTACCCTGTGCACACCCCACCAGCCCTGCCTCCGGTCCACGCTGTACCACAGCAGAGCATTGCCTTGAGACAGAGTTTAGTTTACATTTGCTCAGTTTGCAATTGGTGGCCCCAGTTAGCTTTGTCACTGGGGGTGAGTCAACAACAACAACAAAAAAAAATCAACTTCATAAAACCAAGAAGTGCCCTGAGATCTCCAGGTTCCACAAAGTAAGTGGAAAAGAGCACAGACCTGGCAGGGGACACGAGGCACCCCACAAAATCCTATGTCAACTCACAGAGAGAAAAGCTCTTCATCCTTTTTCCTCCTTCCTCTCTGCTTCCACTAACAAACCCCAAACAAAGCACAAATCCACATCCCAGACCAAATATTCAATTGGGAGTAACCAAGTAAAATCCTTAAGTATGACCTTTATAAACAAATCCCAGAGGGGATGGGGGTGGGAAGGAAGAAGCTTCAAAATGGGGCCTTTTATTGACAACACACTACTACTGACCTCAGCACATTAACGGGAATGTTCTGAAAAGGTGCCACCCATAGTTCTTGGAAATGTCCTCAAAAAACTACTAATTCACCCAAATTCATGCTCTTTGCATAATGGAACCATTCTACTCCTGCTGCATCAGTGGCCTTGCATTAGGCTCCCTAGACCACGAAGAAGGTCATATTAACCAGCCAGATATATTTGGCCAAAACTCCTCTGGTGAACAAGGACCGAAGACCTTTCTTTCCGACGGGCCTGTTACTTTGGGGAAAAACGATACACCACTGGCTGTGAATGAGAGAGACATCAAACCAACTTAATCAACAGGAGACACTGAGCAGCACACAGCCCGCAGGACAACCTCTCGGAGCTGCCAGAAGCAGAGATGCCATATGTACAGCTTGGCCCAGGAATGGAGCCTGTGCCTCCTGGATGGACGGTTGAACTGACAGCGTGAGCCTTTCTCCTGATGCCTGCTCTGCTCAGCAGCAAGCACCTACAGCGTGGGCAGAGGAGAGAGAGGGATGAGGAGCTACAGGTGTGGGGTGACCAGGGGACATCTTGCCCCAAGAGGGAGGTGGGACAGCAGCAGAGCAGGGAGAAGATGAATGATGTTCTTGAAGGACAAGGTACAGCAGCAGAAAGGGGACAGCAGGCCCAGTGCTAACAAGCTGGAGTTTTCAAAAGTCTCCTTAGAGGAAGTCCGTCCTGATAGAAAAATGCTGCCTGGTCCAAGCATACATTTGATCTTTTTATTTCCATGTCTTTCCTGACTGGGAAGCAGAGAAAGGCCAAGCAGTGTTTACTGCAACTTCAGTCTATACTGCTATCTATCGCAACAGCTCCAAGTCAAACCTTTGACTGATTTTCCTGAAAGCGTTTCCACTCTTGAAAACCCCACACCCAGCTTCTGCTACACAACTGGCAACTCAAAACTCACATCCTCTCCAGGGTGCTTCTTGGTAGCTCCCACAGTCCATCATTAATGTTTTCATATTACACTGCTGGATTCAGGCTCTGGTTAATCAGAACAAAATCACTGAGGCATCCAATCCCATCTGCTACAACAACTCAGAAGAGGAGAGATGGAAGAAATAAAGTCACCTGGAAAACTGTTTGCCCCTGAAAGAAACACTTGGCACCTTGTGGGATGATTTTCTAATCAGGAAGGGATGAGAACACAAAAATCTAACTGCGCATCATCTCCAGCCTCCACAGCTCCATCTCAGGACATCCTGGACGTGCGAAGAAGAGAGCGAGCACAGAGCATGGCAGGAAGGAAGAATGGAGGTTTGTCACCTTCAGTAATTTTAGAACCTATTTCCACATATGCAGGTAGCTCTAGACTTTAAAGAGAAAAGGATAATGAGGGATGAAACAGGCTCCCAACACAGATGTGCTACAAGGTCTCAAGAAATTTGCTCTATTTGCTCTATTCCTACGACATACTTTCCAGCCTGTAAAATGGAGCAACAGGACAGGGATGTGGAGTAGACAGCATACTCGTAACAATTCACGTCACCAAACATTTGAACTGTAGTGATGGTGAAGATTAAAATACTCTGATAGGAAAAAGAAAAAAAAACAAACAACAAAACACACCAAAACCCAACACACCTCAAAAGCAGGTACGTTCATAATTTCAGATTCTTCTAACATACTCATCCAATCTTTCATGTTTACTTTTTTTAATGATTTCTCACTTCAGTGAGAATACAAATATGTGAGAGTATGCTACAAGCAGTGAAAACTGAAACCAAACTGTCCACCTATCTTCCTTATTAGAGGGTTTCACATTTCTCAGGATACTACAGTAACCTGTTTGATCAATTCTTGCTTTCTCTTACACAGACTGCCAGCAAAAGAGCAAGTCTGCGCCAGTTAGACAGTGGTGGGTATCACAATTGGGCTTCACTTCAGTAAGAACAGGTCTGAAGGTGCCAGTATCTTTACAAGCAAGTTTCCTGCACAATTGCATTATATCATATAGCTTGTTCTTACTATCAAATTAATCTGGACTTAGGTCACACAATGGAAATACCATTCTTATTTTTGAAAACATACATGTAGTATAATTATACAGCACCCCTAGAATAAATATACTCTGGACTCGTTATTTAGTGCACATTTAAGTTAGGAAGCAAACATCACATACAATTCTCTCAGAGAGAAAACCATGTTTTTTTTTCCACGTGATGGAACAATGCTACTGGGTCTCTAGTTTGGATATCATAGAATGGTTTGGGCTGGAAGGGACCTTGAAGATCATCTAGTTCCAACCTCCCCTGCCATGGGCAGGGACACTTCCCACTAGACCAGGTTGCTCAGAGCACCATCCAACCTGGCCTTGAATACCTCCAGGGATGGGGCATCCACAGCTTCTCTGGGCAACCTGTGCCAGTGCCTCACCATCCTCACGGTAAAGAATTTCTTCCTAATAGCTAATCTAAATCTACCCTCTGCCTTTGCTAAATACTTCCCCCCAAAACAGCTACGTCACTTCACAGAAAGGATGACAATTTTCATTTATACACCCAAGCATTCTCCTAAAGCTTAGCAATCAGGCGGGCACTTCAGTATTACAGTAAAAAGTGTAAAACTGCAAAGTTTATAAAGTTTCCATTTACATTCCAAAGGAATTTGGCTCTTGAGTAAAAGCCTCTGGGTAAGGCAGACACTGAAACATATTTCTGCCTTTCAAAGTTCCCATTTTCTCAGCACGACACATTTTTCATTCAACTTGCTCCTGAAATGAAGCGTACAAATTGCATTTTTCAAGAATTAGAAGGTAAGAGAGAAAGGAGAGACAGCTTTCGGTGCCAGACCTGTTCCAAAGTAAACGCGTACAACTCAATAAAGCAAGTACCTTCAGAAATGCCAGCTATCACCACTGCGCGTAGTGCTGGAGCTCTTCTCGGCGAGAAGCTAGAGCGGACTTAGTAACGCTGCTTGGCTCCTTACAGACAACACAGCAAAGCGGCTCGCAAAACTGGGCACTAAAAACCACCAGTGACAAGGATTATATTTTAAAAAATGAAGTGCTATCTAGGAAAGCAGCATGGATACAGCAAGGCTTCTAGTACGAGCGCCAGCCGTGCTGCCTCCAAATTGTTTGGATTCTCTCAAAGAGAGACAGGAGTTATATATATATATGGAAAAAAAAAACCCCACAACCAACCCACCACACACAAATAACAGCATGATTCACACCAAAAGGCAGTGGGCAGGGACAGATAAATGAAATAAGCAACCAAAGGCTCAGCAGGACGAGGTGGTGTGACACACCAGCAAGAGAAAGGGGAGGAGCAGCAGCTGGAGCAGCAGCCACCCAGGCACCCTGGGCAACTTCTGAAACATGCAACTGTACATGGTATGAGCTGACGTGCAAACAGAAAGCAAAGATAAAAAAGTTGTACAACAGCTGATAGTTCCAATGATGAAACAGAAGGAGAAAGTGGTCATACTGTGGTATCAGCCTGGAGGGAAAATGACTTTCTGCGCTACAGTTTCTGCTAGCAGAGATTTGGCAACTGCGTTGTGCATATTTTCACCATCCAATTGTTTATACCGAAGCTCCTCTTGGAGAGGCCTTCTTTTTCTGCAACACGCTTTGAATTCACTTCCAAAGCTTTTGAGAAACCTCCAGAAGCAAACAAAACACTACAGGATCCTGAAGTCTCTGAGCAGCAAGCAAACAAGAAAACCCCTCTACTCCAATCTGTGTCAATTATGGGCCAATATTTTTCAACTCTTGGAGCCTGGTCTTAATACTTGTGTTACTACTAAATACAGATTCCCACGTTCTGAATGAAGCCTTGTCCAAAGCTCACTGGTGTCATTAAAAAAACCCCTTCATCTCAATAGGTTTTGACCTAATATTCCTATTCTTGCATCTACATGATGCTAACTGCGCTACTGCTGTTACTGAAGTTCACAGTTATCAGCATGTTTGCCAAGCACCGCTCTGGGGTATGTTTCAGAAAGAAAAATAAATACTATGTTCCTACATAATTCATGTTTTCAGTAGTATCACCATTCACAAACCCCTGTTTTATTTAATATGCTACCTGAAGGAAGCAACATTCCCTGCCAAATACAACAAATCAGACACTTTGCATGCAGATGATTCTTCTTTGACGTTATTGCCAAGACCAGATCTTTCTGACACCCTCCAGTTTTTACAACAGTCCCCATCTGAGAAGGGAAAAATGAAATAACACGACTGCAACAAGCTGTCACTGACACTTTAGCATTTCATTTACCTCATTTATATATTCATTTTCCTTTAGTTTGTTATTCATTCCCCAGTGTGTGTTAAGTTCTAAGTTTTGCTATGTTAAAGTTACAGAATGAATTACATTTGTTCTATTTAAAGTAGCACTAAGAAATCAAGTAAAATTAGCCCTGTCGGAAAAGGCTTTGCTATTTAAAAGCAAAAGATGTTCAAATGTTTTAGCCATTTTAAGTCATTCTTGCTTTCCCCATGGAGCATCTGGGTGAGTCGCCCATTATAGTCACAGCTAAAAGCAGAGCGCGCTCCATGGCTCGCCCAGCCCCAGCTCATAAACCGAAAAGAGCAGACGTTCCCAGTGCCTGTCTCCCACGGCCACGAGAAAACCTTGAGGAGACATTCGCAGACATAAAGGACTCGGGGATGGAAACACCGCACGGGTCATGCAGCCTCAGCAGCTGCTGTGCTTCTGGGACTACTGACACCAGGGAAACCTGGGAGACAGCAAGGCCCGGAAAGCAACTCAGGGTGCCAGTGGCTGACTCCAACATGGCCCCCCCAAGCTCCAGAAGAGCTTTCCACCCAATGCACCCAAGTAAGAGATGCTTTGGAAATGAAGTAAGTTGCTTTCCTACCTTGCAGTGGACTCCTAAACCTATAAATACCCCAAAATGTAACAGAAGGGCTCCAAGTAGACTATGCAAAAAAAAACACCAAACCAAACCAACCACAAAACAACCAACCAACCCTGAAAAACACCAACAATCCCCCCCAGCAAAGGCCACGGTTGTATGCACACTGTAAGTTGGCATTAGCCAGTACTGTTTCTGAAAGGAGCCGTCCCACTTTCCATCCAACCATCTGTTTGTTTCTCTCCCGCTGCCGCTCAATGCTTTGTGCCAGCACGAGAAGCTGCGTAACCCAAATTGAGGAACTGCACTGGGCTGAAAGGATTTCTTTTAGAATAGTTGTGGTGAGGCTGGTTTCACCTGCGTTGACTGAAAATGGCCACCCCTCCCCAGGCTGAGCCTCTTCATTCCTTCCCAGGGAGCTTGTCCAAAAGCCAGAAGTAAGCGACAGGGCCTCGTCTTTTAATTTGGCTCACAGAAATTAATCTCACAAATCATTCCAACACACCCGCAGTAATGATAAGGAAATATTTCCTAATATGGAATAAAAACTGAATATTGGAGTTGTGCTGCACTCCAGGATTTCCTGCTATTCAACGAAGCTGAGCAGCAGAAGTCTCCCATGAGCGGCGGCCGTCATCCAGTTCTCTGCTACTTTCAACACACAGCAAGCACGGCTGACAAACACAAATACATTTCCCTGACAGGAAAAGATACGGGCTGGGTGAAACTATGCATGTATATACAAAAATATATATTTATATGGGTCTATATATATAAACCAGGTATATCTACACCTATATAAAATATATCCACTTTTTTTTCTTCCTTTTAGAGTTAATCTTTTGTCCACTTCAAGTAGCAAAGAAATTTTTGATCTAAACAACAAAACCTTTGCTTTCACTAACAATAGGAGACTGGTCACCTACAGTTTAGAAATACAAATGCACTCATAAGGTCATTTCCATCTCAGCTCCACTTGCCTCAATGTTTGGCGATACAATCACATTCTTTATGCTCTACTATCAATAGCTCTGTCCCAAAGTTAAGAGTACATTTTGAAACATTCTGTACTTAGAACATTCACTCAGTGAATGACTTGCAATGACATACCAAAATCTTCATGAGCTCAGTCCTTTCAAATAACTCATTTTATTTTCTTTACAGAAGGGGTTTTTAAGACAATCCAATCGTTTGAGTTTTAGCAGTACCAGCTCAAATTGCTTTACTGTGCTTGTGGCTGCAAGATAGGACTCCCCCACCCAGCCATTAATCTCATGTAGACAGAAAAGAGAAAAGAGAGAGGTTGTACTTCTGCTCCATCAGCAAGGACAGAGCGCTAGAGCTAGGAACAGGAAGGGAATAGAGGTGCTGGTGTATCCACATGCTCCTGTCTTCCAAGGAGTGCTCCACATGAGAGGTCAGCTCAGGACAACACTCTGGGGGACAAAACGAAGCACAAGACACAACAAGGGAACTAGACCTGCAGTCCCATGCAGCCATCCCTCTCTTCCCAGGGCTTACTGCAGCATCTGAATTGATGCATTTTAATTCATTGGCAACAAGAGAAATCAGTAGTTTGCTGAAGGATAACAATGCAGTGCAGTGAAATGGCATTTCATAGGTTGCTTTAGTTTACTTTTATCTTTCCTTTCTCTTGGCTCTCCCCAAGTTTCATAGTGCTGCAAATCTTTGTGCTCTTAGAAGTGTCTAAAAACAGGAAGCTCTTCTATCTACTAAAGTAATTGCGTTCCTGTGCACTTAAGCATTTTCTCAGTTTTCAGCAGGTACTTGTATCCGGGCATATTCAAGAAAACATTGTTTTAAGATCTGCTAAATTAACTAGCATAAAAACCCCATGCTAAATATTTTGCTGTACTGTTTTGGATGATGAAATAACTATGAATAGAGCAAGGTAAATGACCAAAAATCTGCTTCCTCGTCAGTTGCTGGTTTTCTGGATAAAATTAGACTCGGGTCTCATGAAAGAGGTGCCCCACTCCAAAACATGTACAACTGTCTAAAATTCAGTCACAGTGGATTTCCCTATGTCTGGCTCTTTCATGGCCAAGAGACACAACTAAAGACAGAAGTAAAGAAGAAGAGGAGGAACTTCTAGCGTGGCACCTGAATAAAGTTTCCTTGAAATTGTAATCTTGATCCAAGAAACTCCACTTTTAAATTTTAGGGATGCTGTAAATCCTTTCTATTTTCTAAGGAGCCTAGGAAGCAGGAGCAGAGGCAGGCTTCACCTTTGGGAACTAGAAGGAACTTTTGCATTGGAGAATACTGAAGAAGGCACTAAATTTGTTTTTCTTTTTACTGATGTATGTTCGAATCCCTGACTCTTGCTAGGCTCTTTTTAGATGACATCAATCAAATTAAGTATAGTAATTACACATGATAAGTCTATACCAGCAAAGGAGCCGACCGCTAAATGAGATACAGAACACCAGTGACCGGCTATAGCCTGTGCAATGCCTCTAGTCAGGGTTAATGAGCATGACAGATCCCTCTGGCCTTAAAAAGCTGCAAATGCAGGTAGTACATCTTGTTAGCATACGCAATACTGGAGAACAGATGTTTGCCCATTCAATTCCCACTACAACAGTTCATTTCTTTATGATTTTTGGAGGAGACAGCTGTTGGCAGATAAAGCAGACTACCTTGATGAGACCCAGGGTACAGAGATGAAAAGATGTGTGCAGTTTCTTGATGTAAGAGAGGAATACATGGTACCATCTTCCTAGTGCCTGAAGCTGGGAAGCAGATTTGGAACAGTGGGGATGGAGCTGTGCCATACTCTTAACACCAAACCATCAGGAGCTCTGGCCATCAGTACCAAAGGTGGAGCAAGAAATACTATTTCATGTAGGAACCATAATGGCAACATTTGATCCCTACAGTGATAACAAGGACAACTGAAAAGAGCAAGCCTTACCATTCTGCCTTATAAGCAGACCGTTTTAGGGAAGAAGGGTCAATACAACTCTGGTTTTGTGTTTCAACATTTATATCTATTTGAGAACACATATATCACTGTATCAATCTATATATCATGTTGAGAACAAAAATGCACTGCAAGTGGGTAGCTGGGACTTATCCTTCTGAGATTTAGAGGTTTAGGTATAGAGAACAACAGCTCTTTTAGTGGCAGACTCACAGAGCCTTGCCTTCACGAAATTTGTGGCCTATTGCTTGATGTCCCAACTGCTCATCTCCTCTAGGGCTGAGGAGTGACAAGGAGTGCTTTGTTATGGCTATGTGTATATACACATGATCCCTCCTACACAATCACATATCCACCCTTCCAGGAAGATAAGATAAAGACAAAAGAGGAAAAGGAAATTAAAGATTTGCACCTAGGTGAAAGATGATGAGGTTCGTGATGGGCATTAGTTCCCTGTGGAAGGTCATTCTCCAGTCTTGGCCTGGGAAAGCTCACTCAGAATGGGTGGTGTTTTCCTTCAAATTAATCTCGGAGATATGATTCTATTATCTTGTTTCCTAGTTAAAGGACAAGGGAGGCAAACGCTGGGTGTGGCTATATCCACTGCAAAAGAAAGTGAGAAGGAAAAGGACCAGAGGGTATCTGCTTAAGTTTCTATAAGATACCGAGGCTGTACGTAGCTGCTCTGCTGGAGTTAAAAATGCACGGATGGGCAAATTTCCAGATTAAAAAAAATAAATAAATCTTAAAGACCCCAGTTTCATATGCTTTCCAGATGAAATTGACTATGGCAAGAATAAGAGAACAAGACAACAACTTCTCTAGCAGCAAACCTTTCCCACTGAGAAAGCTTTCAGAACAGAACAGTCTTGCAACATGTCCTGAGGACTAAGCACGCTCTTGACTGAGAAAAGGAGCAAGACTTATCAGTAACAAGGACTCTTCATGGAACACAGGTCACCTCATACAAAGGTATGGGCTTTACAGGAAAGTAGAAGGAAAAGCAACACTTGTGTTCCTGCAGAATGGCTCTCATCGTTCATTTTCAAGGTGTAAGTCTCTACTGCCCTGTAAGGTGACTAAGTGTCATTGTGCCTCCATTTCTTTATCTGCCAAGCTGAGATGAAGACAAGTGGAGTTACCTGCAGGAAATTCAAATGGAAATACCAGTTTAGTGCAAACAACGTGTAAAAATGGGGCATGGTGGAGTGGCAAATACAGAAGTCTTTCAGGCAGCGATCTGAATTGCTTGACAAGTTGGATACAACCAGCTCTTTCCCATAAATAGCAACCAGAGAAAAACCCAAATAAGCTGTAGGAAGAATGAGATCATTTCCACTTTTGAAATATTATTTAACATTAACATTTCCTTATGGGGATGGGC